ACTCGAATGCAACCCCCTCTCTTCTGCAAGCAATTCAGGTGGTAATTCCTCTCCGCGCACTCGCGCTTTATCCATAGCTTCCCTTTTCCTAGCTTCAGCTAATTCCCAATTACACACCACCAAAAGCGCCTCCCAATACTGTATATGCATCGGTGTTTCCCTATCTAAGTCGATATGCAATTTTATATCCTCCTCAAGTTCTTCCATTTCTTTTATACCTAAACCTTTAAACACAACATAAGGTTCATCTATTTCCACATCGAAGTCTCCAGAAGGTTCTAACTGCTTTATAAGAACATCAATGGGCTTAACCCGACCCTGACGGAGGCGAATTTCAGTCCGAACTTTACTCTGATCAAAATGAAACTCTTCTTCCTTCTTCTCCCAGTCCTGAAACTCGGCCCGGGCCCGTTCTCTAGCTAACAACTGTAGTTCCTCTTCTCGTTGGGCTTTTTCCATTGCTCGTTCTTCTCTCCTTTTTTTAACCTTTTCGATTTCGGCCATTCGTTCTTTCTGCCTTTGCTTCTCTGCCTTCATCGAGAAGGTATCAAGCGGCACGCCACGTGTGACGTCTCGTTCGATTTTCTTCCTCCACACGAATTTCTCGTTCAGATTTGAATCACCGAATGGATTTGAATCGTTTGAATAGCCAGAAACTGTCTGTTGTTTCAACTTCTTCGCTACTTTCATAGCTTTTTTCTGTGCTTTTTTAGCCATATATAAAGCGATTTCTTCTTCAGTGATTTTCCTCTTCTTCTTCTCTCGCTCGTCATTGTCGCTGCTCTCTTCGTCGGAATATTCATGAGCTCTCGATCTGCGACTGTGACTTCGGCTTTTGCTTCGGCGGCGGCGACTGCTAGTCGGCGGAGATGAGTCGGAGTCGGAGTGAGAAATTGAATCGGAATCTGTGGCAGGGGATTCCGAATCGTCGGAATATCGTCGGCCAGACATGGACGATTTCTTCTTGCTACGGTTGCCGGATGAACCCATTGCGGCGGGGAGATTTTTGCTAATCGGGTTTGTGAGGGAAAAGTAGAACACGCAACTCTGCTCCATTTATATTTTGCTCCGGGTCGGGTTTAGATTTACTTTTAGTTTATTCTTTGTTTTTTGGTATAGTTTCGATTAAATGATAACATTGTTTTTGGATAAAAATAAAGAGCTATAAGCTGACGATTATTTGAAAAAACAAAAGTTCCTTTTCTTTTATATTAATTATAATTTAATTCAATTGTCTAATTGAATTATTGCATTACAGTAGTTTTTTATTTATAAAAAATTAGTATCGTTTGAGATAAAACCGAGTCTATTAATTTGCAAACAAAGTTGGGAAAAAATCCACTATGTTATAAAATAAATACTGTAAAGTGAAGACAAGTATAGAGAGAAACTGATATATTATTCAAACTTCAAACTTCTGTACATAATGAACTGAATTCTTCTCTATTTATAGAAGAGAGAAAGCTGTTGTGTAAGCTGCTACTGCAAGCTGCTGTGTAAGCTGTTTGTAAGCTGCTGCTCTAAACTGTTGTGCCAGATATAGATAATCTTCTATCATGGGTAATATTTATCCATAACGGGGTACCGAAAGGATAAGCTTCTTCAGGAGACTTATTTCCAATAGAGTACTAAATAGATAAATGTATTTATGGCGGAGTCTCATATGGATAAACTTCTTGAGGAAGCTTATTTACAACGGAGTACTAAATGAACATCCATAATATAATATATTGATAACACTCCCCCTTGGATGTTCATTAAAAGATAATGTGCCTCGTTAAAACCTTACTAG